ACCCACCCACCTACCCACCCACCCACCTACCTACCTACCTACCTACCTACCTACCTACCTACCTACCTAGTCAAGCTATCATCAACACTGCATCCACGTTCATATGCTTGCTCCGTGATGTTCTAGAATCTCTGGGCAGTCAGGGGCTAAATGGCCATGCTGCTTCCGCACATTAGGCAATCTTTCTGCAACGCCCACAGGCCTGGACCTCCGACTGTACCAGCTGAGATCAGTATCACGCGATCTACCGTGTTCCCGGCCGAGCCTGGCTCTGCTGGGTCTCGCCCAAACTTGTGAGGAGGTGTGGTCACCATCTCCTACACGAAGCTCGAACCGGATCTGTTGGTGGAAGGTGTACATCAAGGTGCAGATGCCCCATCGATCTTCTAAGTGACCAGCACACCTCAACCACTTCAAAGGTGGGCTAGCTAGATCCGACGCAGTGCACCAACTGCCCACATGCACATCTCTCACAACTCAGGACTGCAAGATCGAATTACCAGTTCCAAATGGGATGGTGGCCACTGTTCTCGGGCTCTGTCAACAGGCTACAGTCCAGAAATACCATGCGTCAGAGCAGAAGTCCTTGATGAGGTTTCCTCCGATCTGGCTGTTGATGAATTTCAGCTCTTTGCGGCCCACGCTCGGTATCTTCCTCGCTGCAATCAACCGGGCTGGATCGGTCTGGAAACCCAGCGGAGTGCTGGTAAGGGAATTGGTCAGCAAACGGTCCTGGAGGACTCTAGCAGCAGCGGAGAAGGCGACGAAGGCGTCGACAGGCTTACTGGCTCTACTGGAGCAGCAGATTCTGCAGCCGGAGCAGGTGGATGCGAAGCGCTGTCTGCAGACGCACTGTCGCTCTGAAGCCTGAGTCCGGCGAGCTTATGGTAGGGCCCTCCGAACCCCTGAACACCTATAAACCCTAAACATCCTAAAACCCTATGAACTACCTGGCCGAGGTCCCGTAGCTATCGGAAGATCCAGAGAGCCTGGAAGCCTCCGACCTCATGACAAGCTACTGAGCTGCTCAGCCCTGGCAGTGTACCGCCGCAAAAGCAATGACGGCATCCAGTTCGCGACCCCTTCGGGCAGTTACTATACGCCTACAGACCCAGTCTCAACTTACTACTTGAAGCCCAGGAGCATTCCAAGCATGTCAGATGTGCTTTGCAGGGCTGGCAGATCGATGCCCAGCGAGTCGTAACCGATGACGGATAGGACACCGCAAAGGTAGAGGGTCAAGAACCTGCAGGGCCACGGAATGCTGAAACCGCAGCTGGGACACCGAAACAAGAACCCCTATCATATCCCTCTAAATATTATACGACGGCTCGACGCTTCGCTACGGCCATCAAAGCTCCAGCGACCTAGAGTTTTCACGACATGACCTATAAAGTCATGTAGACTCATTCGGGGTGTGCTGCTTGCTTTCTGCGTGGCTTAGTGCATGTGAGACCCACCAGCAAGGCCTATGCAACCTCACCTTTCGGCCAAGGGACGAACAAACCGACCAGAAGCAGTCACCACCTTACGAGGAAAAAGCATTTCTTGCCCATCTTTGCTTTGATGACTGCACGAAATGCTGGTGCTGAATGCGGCCATCCAGGCAGCGGCTTTTGACCCTCTCGCAGCAGGGGTTAATTGATACAAGCAGCGGGCTCCTGTGCCATGCATTTTTGCAGCTGGCCCCTCTGCTTCTAATCATGATTCTAATCGTCCATCGAACAAGACCCTGTCTCTGTATTCACAAAAACACAGGGGGCAACTGATTGAAAGACATAGAAGCCCATGGACCTCTATGTAGGTGCCCTATTGTCTGGCAACCAGCGACAGGCTTGGCAACTCCCAAACTGGTCACGAAGCATTCTCCGAATCATATGTCGCATCTGCAGAACTGTGACCAGTTTTAGCAAATGCACTGGCTACGTGTCTCTGGTAGCGCGAACGAGGATACTTTTGGAGTCGCTGTTGTCAGGAATTGCAACTGTTCGGCTGCATCGGTGTAGTGCTGGCTCAGTCGGCACCGGCTGCCCTACATCTTTCCTTGCACCACAAAGAGGCTTTCTCCCGAAATTTTGGTCTCGGGAGGCATCCGCGAAGCCCACGTCTCGGAGATGAAGCGGGCCATTTCGCTGGCCGGTCGCGAGACGTGTTGCAGGACTCCAGGCATCGACGAAGGAGCCAGCGACGAAGTAGTGTGCCCGAACGTCTCCTTCGGCTTCACTCTAAGGTTCCGGCCTCAGCTGCGCGGGGCCGATACGGAAGCACCCCCTCGTTGCCTGCCATCTCGGAGCCAACCTTTTGTGTGCGCTTCGCATGCCAGTGGTGATGGGTCTCGGCTGTCGGGTTTTGATCATCACCCCTTTGGTGCTGGCCAAACCAGTGCTTTGTGTGAAAGCATATGGCAACCACGTCAGTGCCAGATCTTTCGTAGAGGAAGGTGTACTTCCGCTCCTGGACGCGTTACAGTTCTCAACTAGCACTGCCTGAAGCGCAGCCAGATTCGTTGGCAGAAACTTCTTACTGAGTCCAAGTTGCCCGATTGGGTGCCATCTCGACTTGGGCCCACCCCAAGTGAGCATCCCTCTGCACCCTGGCACCATGGAGAGCTGCCTCCGCAGCCTCTCTGTGTGCAGAAGACTCAGTCGTATGAGCTTTTCTTGCACCCTACGTCGAGGAAACGGTCGAATGTCAACTTACCAGAATAGACATCTCTTGATTTCATACCGCACTTCCGCTAACTTCCCACCTCCTCCATCGTTGGATACACATCCGGCGGGGGCTGAGCCATGGCTGACACTGTATCTGCAAGCAAGGCTTCAAGACAACGAGCCGAAAGGGAACTGGAGAGCGCTGTCAGTGTAAGCAGCGCTGGCGAGTGGCGAAGTGTATCTCTAAACTTCTGTAGATCTGCAACTGCAATCAGCACGAGCACGGCGTAATACTATGCTTGACATCTTTGAGCTGGAGAACTATCAACCCTCACAGCAACAGAACGATTTGACGTAACAACTATGGCTGTCATGTAGCGAACTTACAAGCCAGAACACAAGCAGTGCCTTGGACTTCAAAGACTAAACCCTGAAGTGAAGAAAGCAACCCGGGGCTTCCAACTTGGATCTTTCCGTCAGGGAGCTACCCGGCGAGGTGCGCCGAATGGCCATGATCCATGGGGCCGAGGTGGTTAGAGGGTTTTAGAGGCCTTCAGGCTTGTAGTTGCTGGCAGGGTTTAGATGCTGTATGAATTGAACGTCGGAGGCAAAAGGGTATTTTGGGTTCATGACATTTGAATGATGCGGCTTCGTTCCAAGATGGCGCAATGCGTGTGGGCTCCTGGATTCGGACACCGGGGTGCTTTCGGACGCGCAGTGGATCTTTGCCGAAGCTTCTGTGCTCAGGTTTGGGTATGTCGCAGTGGCGCCATGTACAATCAAGCCCACCTGGGGCCTCGGTTCTTGAGCTGTGACGTGGCAGAGCGGCGCATGAGAAATGAAACTTGAGAGCTGCAACTTGCGGGGCATCCCTGACCTGGCATTCTTGCAGAAAGGCGAGGATCAAAGGCCGTTAGAGGGATCCAGGCAGGGTCCTTAGATCTGAGGCAAGCCCTCATGCCTCGTGCCGTGGGAACATCGCAACGGTTAATTGGATCTTGAACCCTAAAGTGAACCCTTGGCTTAGCTGCCCGCGTTCTCCAACGGGCGTAGAACATCGCAGGCCTACAGTTTTCCGCGCTTCACTATCACCCCATTACGATCATAAGTTACGCTTGAACATATCGCAAAGGGAACCCTATAGTTGAACTTAAACCCGGCAACGATAGCCCACAACAGCCCTCCCCCATCCTCGCCCTAATCCCTCGAAACCCGTAAACTATCCCCCCACCCCTCACCCCCCCTCCACTCGCAGTGTCTTTTCTCAATGCTTCCGCCGTCTTCGCTTCCTTAGCTCCTCCTCTGCTGGCAGCGGAGCCGAGGATGCCTGAAGTTGAAGTGGCGTGACATAGTTTTGGGGGGCCTCACGATGCTGGTTCAAGTAGGGATGGGTGGTGTACAAAATGAGTCCCGTCATGCGGTGTACGGCTTTGGGCGGGTTTCTTTGGGGTGTCTATAACCTTAAAACTTCTGGGCTTTGGGTTTCGGGGTTTTAGACTTCACAATCAGGCGAGTTTAGCAGTGCGAGGTCGGCAGCAGCGCAGCCTACAGCCTGTGAAACCCGTGTGTACTGCACTCTGCACTCCATCCCTATATATATGTATGTATGTATGTATGTATGTATGTATATATATATATACATATATATATATATATATATATATACGTTCCACCCTGACAGCTGCTAAGCAGCCTTGAGACTTGCAGACAACATGCACACTCCGAACAACTGCTGCTTTTTCTCTGACGTATGGATGCAGACAAAGGGTCTGAAAGGCAAGACGTTGCAGTGACTGAGCTGGTCTAGCAGCAGTGCCTCAGGTCTTGGACATTAATGGACGGTGCCACATTGTGCCCTCCACTGATCTCATGTATCTGATCCTCATCGTACTATTGCATGAGGTTTTCTGCTATTCCTTGCCTAGCCGACTGGTGAGGCCACGCAGGAATACAAAGCAGCTCATCCTCCCGTCTTTGTGCCAGCAGTGTGTACGTAGTCACAACACCAGCTCGTACTCGTTTTCCCTGAACGACAGGGGGATGAGCGCTGTCAAATTGAGTGGCGAACACCCGGCCCTCAGCAGAAGGCTGCCGCGGACGGGTTGACCACTCTCACAAAAATTCGAAAACAGTGAGGCAAGCTTCAACTCACGATGACATTCCACTTCCAAGATTCTTTCCACCAGAACGTGTTCGATTCGAGTGTGCAGCCTAAGCACAGGATGTGAGTCATCGTCGCTGAGCATCAGCGACCCCGACCGAGACGTTGCAGTAGCTAAATCTCTCAGATCAAAGGCCCTGAAGCTGAATTCTGAACGCAGTCATTGCCAACGTTCATCTTGTTGAAGCTCTTTGCAATAATTCCAAGAGTAATTAGCAGTTTATGTATTCCTCACTCCTCACACT